TTTTCGACAAGTTCAAGGTGTTGACTACGATGAGAGTTTCTCACTCGTATCTATGCTTAAGTCTGTCCAAATCATGTTAGCAATTGCCGCATTTTATGAAATCTAGCAAATGGATAAACAAAACTGCATTCCTTAATGGATTTATTAAAGAAGAGTTGTATATGATGCAACCAGAAGGTTTTGTCAATCCTAAAGGTACTAACAAAATATGCAAGCTCCAGTGATCCATCTATGGACTGGTGCAAGCATCTTGGAGTTGGGATATACGCTTGATAAGTTGATAAAGCATATAGTTTTATACAGACTTGCGATGAAGCCTGTATTTACAAGAAAGTGAGTGGGAGCACTACAATATTTCTGATAAGTATATGTATGACATATTGTTGATCGGAGATAATGTATAATTATTCTGCAAAGCATAAAGGAATGTTCGAAAGGATTTTTTTCAAAGAAAGACCTCGGTGAAGCTGCTTACATATTGAGCATCAAGATCTATAGAGATAGATCAAGACGCTTGATAAGTTTTTCAATGATTACAATCCTTGACAAGATTTTGAAGTAGTTCAAAATGGAACAGTCAAAAAGGAGTTCTTGCCTGTGTTACAAGGTGTGAAGTTGAGTAAGACTCAATACCCGACCACGGCAGAAGATAGAGAGAGAATGAAAGTCATTCCCTATGCCTCGGCCATAGGTTCTATAAAGTATGCCATGCTGTGTACCAGACCTATTGTATACCCTGCCCTGAGTTTGGCAAGGGAGTACAATAGTGATCTAGGAGTAGATCACTGGACATTGGTCAAAATTATCCTTAGTGGAATAAGGATATGATTCTCGATTATAGAGGTGACAAAAAGGTTCGTCGTAAAGGGTTACGTCGATGCAAATTTTGACACTGATCCAGATTACTCTAAATCTCAATCTGGATACATATTGAAAGTGGGAGCAATTAGCTAGAGTAGCTTTGTGCAGAGCATTGTTGACATAGAAATTTGCAAAATACTTACGGATCTGAATGTGGCAGACCCGTTGACTAAACTTCTCTCACAAGCAAAACATGATCACACCTTAGTACCCTTTGGGTGTTAATCACATAGCAATGTGAACTAGATTATTGACTCTAGTAAACCCTTTGGGTGTTGGTCACATGTCGATGTGAACTATGGGTGTTAATCACATGGGGATGTGAACTATTGGTATTAAATCACATGGCGATGTGAACTAGATTATTGACTCTAGTGCAAGTGGGAGACTCAAGGAAATATGCCCTAGAGGCAATAATAAAGTTATTATTTATTTCCTTATATCATGATAAATGTTTATTATTCATGCTAGAATTGTATTAACCGGAAACATAATACATGTGTGAATACATAGACAAACAGAGTGTCACTAGTATGCCTCTACTTGACTAGCTCGTTGATCAAAGATGGCTATGTTTCCTAACCATAGACATGAGTTGTCATTTGATTAACGGGGTCACATCATTAGAGAATGATGTGATTGACTTGACCCATTTTGTTAGCTTAGCACTTGATCGTTTAGTTTGTTGCTATTGCTTTCTTCATGACTTATACATGTTCCTATGACTATGAGATTATGCAACTCCCGTTTATCGGAGGAACACTTTGTGTGCTACCAAACGTCACAACGTAACTGGGTGATTATAAAGGTGCTCTACAGGTGTCTCCGAAGGTACTTGTTGGGTTGGCGTATTTCGAGATTAGGATTTGTCACTCCGATTGTCGGAGAGGTATCTCTGGGCCCTCTTGGTAATGCACATCACATAAGCCTTGCAAGCATTGCAACTAATAAGTTAGTTGCGGGATGATGTATTATGGAACGAGTAAAGAGACTTGCCGGTAACGAGAATGAACTAGGTATTGAGATACCGACGATCAAATCTCGGGCAAGTAACATACCGATGACAAAGGAAACAACGTATGTTCTTATGCGGTCTGACCGATAAAGATCTTTGTAGAATATGTGGGAGCCAATATGAGCATCCAGGTTCCGCTATTGGTTATTGACTGGATACGTGTCTCGGTCATGTCTACATTGTTCTCGAACCCGTAGGATCCGCACGCTTAAGGTTTCGATGACAGTTATATTATGAGTTTATGAGTTTTGATGTACCGAAGGAGTTCGGAGTCCCGGATGAGATCGGGGACATGACGAGGAGTCTCGAAATGGTCGAGACGTAAAGATCGATATATTGGATGACTATATTCGGACATCAGAAAGGTTCCGAGTGATTCGGATATTTTTCGGAGTACCGGAGAGTTACGGGAATACGTATTGGGCCTTATTGGGCCATACGGGAAAGAAGGAAAAGGGCCTCAAGGGTGGCCGCACCCCTCCCCTTGGTCTGGTCCGAATTGGACTAGGGAAGGGGGGCGCCCCCTTCCTTCCTTCTCCTTTTCCCTTCCTCTTTACCTATTCCATATGGGAGGTGGAATCCTACTAGGACTAGGGAGTCCTAGTAGGACTCCACACTTGGCGCGCCCCCTTCTAGGGTCGGCCTCCTTCTCCCTTGCTCCTTTATATACGGGTGCAGGGGGGCACCCCAAAGACACAACAATTGATCCTTGAGATCTATTAGCCGTGTGCGGTGCCCTCCTCCACCATAATCCTCGATAATATTGTAGTGGTGCTTAGGCGAAGCTCTGCGACAGTAGAACATCAAGATCGTCACCACGCTGTCATGCTGACGGAACTCTTCCCCGACATTCTGTTGGATCAGAGTCCGGGGATCGTCATCGAGCTGAACGTGTGCTAGAACTCGGAGGTGCCGTAGTTTCGGTGCTTGATTGGTTGGGCCGTGAAGACGTACGACTACATCAACCGCGTTGTGCTAACGCTTCCGCTTCCGGTCTACGAGGGTACGTAGACAACACTCTCCCCTCTTGTTGCTATGCATCACCATGATCTTGCGTGTGCGTAGAATTTTTTTTGAAATTACCACGTTCCTCAACAGGTTTCCCCCTCGTTGCCCGATGCAAGGGGGAAGGGAACCCGGAGCCTCCTCTAGTTCTAGTTAATCCTAGTTGATGTAATTCGAACTAGAGCTAGATCCTCTAATCCTTATAATTAGAGGACCACTGTGGTTCTAATCTCCTCCCTCTAATTCTTCGACGACGATTATGTCTGGACGGTGAAGCGCTACTGGATCATGAAGGTTGCACGCTTGCAACCAAGTAGAGAGATCGTGATTTAGGTCTTCAGTTTGAGGGAATGTTCATGGGCAGTTTGCGGGATCGTTCATCAATGGTTTGAGTGACTCCAAGTACAATCTACACTGACACATTCTTCTTCCACTGCAACTCAATGATCAAATTAACCTATAGAACAAAAAGAAACTACTCAGACATAAGAGCGATGAGACAAATCATTGGATAATAATTTATAACATCAAAAACCATGTTCAAGTAGGGGATTACAGAGGATTGCGGGAAAGTGGACCACTATATAGAGAGGCAGGAAGGTGATGGAGATATTTATGAAGTCGATGAAGTTGATGGAGATGATCACTATGACGATGCTTCTCTCGGGGCAACTAGGGTATCTATGTTTGTACAAACGTTAGTTGTACAGGAGAGCATCCAATGAAAATTCAAAGTTTACTCACATGCGCAAGAAAATGGTCTATGTGTTGCCAGAGAAAGCTATGTGCAATGATCATCGTTAAGGAAAATAGAAACACGGTACAAACATAATCATTTGCAAACAGTTGAGGAAAAAATCTTTCAAATAGTTTGCTTAACTTCCGGGCTATAGTTGGTCTCTGCGCCAATAGGAGCAACGGGTCATCTAGTTATAAGAAAAATTAAACAAAACAATGTAGGATATTCCCCCCATAGTACCTAGAAAATAAACAAAAAAAGCATTGATCTTGTTTGTTCGATGATTCAATAGTGTGGTGGAAGTTGACTAGCCAATGAAGCACGACTAGTCATCTCCACCAATAAAAAGTAACTCTTATCTATAGCTTGTTTCTCCTATGGTTTCACAATAGGTAACCATGTGCACATTTTCCACATAGGCTCTTTTCGGCTCTTGGGGATCGAAAATTGTTTTTGAGTGTCCATTTTCTTTTGTACATCTATATGCAACATCTATAGAAGAAGCAGGGGTTAGCATTTATTGCAGTATTTTTATGTGTAGCTATGTACAATTTATATGCAAGTTCATGGGGAAAATTCATTAATGTGTTTTAGTCACTAGGTGGTGCTCATATTTGAGTATCCATGTTATAGGTATATGATATCGCCAATTCTGAAACTACTCATTAATAAAAAATGGTTGAGATGCTTTCACTCTTCATATGGCAAATTATCAGGGACTCTTACTGAACTTTAAATAAATTTAATAGTTGCGGTAAGAAACATATATTTTACCAAGTTCTAGCAAACCTTCATTGAAAAGTGTGATTTCTTAATTAATAAAAAGGGAAAGATAATTAACATACTCCATCGACGTATTTCAAAATAGAAAGTGTATTAGTTTTCTCAAAAGTCAAACATGTGCATGTTTGACTAATTTTTTTTGAAAAAATTACCAATATCTGCAATACCAACTTTGTGTCATTAGGTCTATCATGAAAACTATTTTCATAATTTTATTTTATTTTTGAAATGCATATGTTGATATTTTATTTTCAATCCTGGTCAAATGTACATAAGTTTGACTAGCACAAAAACTAATGCACCTTATATTTTGGAATCGAGGGAGTAATACACAACCATCAAAGATGACTCTATTGTTTACATAGGGAAATAGCAACACAAACATAGCCGAGAAAAATAATTTTCAATAGTTTCGCACCCACATGACATATCTTCACTCTTACGCTACTCTATTGATAATTTTGTTTCCAAATATAAATAACCTCTTATAATTTTTCTCCGCTTGTGGTGAAACCATCGTGCCATCATCCATTGTGTTCTTAGGAAAATATTGGTCCCACAAGTATCAATCATGGGATGCCAAGCTACATGGGAAGATCAACTTTGTCGGCTTTTCATCCTTGCTTTGCTATGCGAACTCATGTGACCACCATATGATTGAGATGTGTTGAATGTGGCATTGCAAATCTTGCATGTGTATTTACGTGGGGTTGTAGAATCATGCATAATAGCACTATCAGAAATTCCATTTGGGCCAACTAGAAGGATTTTATCTTCTCTTTGAATATGTGAGGATTGCATGGCAGGAGATGCAGGGGCAGGTACACCATATGGATAAACATTTGATAATCTTTCATCTTGTATCTTCAGCTGCTTCTGCATAGTACTTGGTGTGAAGGGGTGAATCTTTTGAGAAGAACAAAGAAACCTAGACGGTAGTGAGCTTACCTCATAAACATCCCTCGTGGCCATCTTAAAGAGTGAACCATCATGCAACACTCCATTAGTGTTAAGTTGGGAATGAACAATTGATTTTGGCTCTGTTTGGAGTAAGGATGTGAATGATGAAGCCTCCATGGACAAATTCTGCATCCGATGTGACGAGTTGAAGTCATTCCAAAGAGGATTTGTGAGGAAGCCTTCATGCGAGAACATTCCTTTTTCGTCCAAGGATAAAGGAATAGGGATTGTATCACCCAGTTGTGGGGGTAGTGGTGCGAGTTATGCACTAGATTGGTATGGAATCATGGAACTATCATTGACCAACATCACGGTACCTTCTTGTGGTGCATGCATGTTTGTTGAGGAATTTCCTATTGAAGGTGAATATGATGATGGGGATTCAAGGTCTATGAAATCATTCAATACTGGCATGGCTGTCGTGCCTCTCAATGCTTCATGCAAGGGGGAAATGTTAGGATAGGAGCCATTAGGATCCATAGCTACTAGCAGTATCAACAATTTGCAGTAGATGTTATGCAGAATAGAGATGCATGTGCTAGGATGCCTTTGATGCTTATGTGGGCTATTACATAACGTGATATTTATAAGGATCTTACAAAACTATAGACGTGCATGGACTCATGCACTATTTAATTATCTCATTAACAAGAATATTTGGATTTTAATAATTGCTATTAATACAATATATTGGAGATATGATATTATAATTTCTAATGATTAATGATATCTTCTAGGATTTGTTGGTTAATCTGGTCTCCCCACTGGTTTTCATAAAACCAGGCATTAATCATGTACAATATATGGTATGACTATTGTAGCCTGAGTCCCATGCATCTTCTCTTTTATTGGAAGGAAAGAAACATGTATGTTGATGCAAAGTTGCATGTGTCTTCCTAAACAAGCGATGCCAGTTTATTCTCGGCTTTCAAAAAATTAACTTATATGATTGCACAATAGGTCAAAACTAGTATTGCTAATGGATATTTGAAACACACACACAGGGAGGGAGGGAGGGAGAGGGAGAGAGAGAGAGAGCAAATATTGTCCATATATGTCTTTCTCTTAAAATCAGTTTTATATATCCAAATATCTTGTGATGTAACCGAAAGATTGCCTTCGTCATTGAAATATTTTTTAATACATGTAAATGTCCAACCATATCAACCTTGTGCTCCTAGGTAGCAACATCAATTCCTTATTCCTCTACCTTGGTGCATCCTTCGCCGCCTCGTATCCCCCCTCGGCATTGGCAATGTTGATCTTGGGTGCTAGCCCATGTGTTGCATCAGCTGCCATTAGAACCACTAGCTAAGGAGTCAGCAAGGCAGCGTTCAACCAATCGCCCGACTTGGGAAGTGGCGAGGCCACCATAGGGGAAACCATTACTGGCGAGACCCCTAGATCAGGGATCAAAGGAGAAGGGAAAGAAGACTCCATTATGGCCAAGGGAAAATCATAACATGGTCAAGGAAACCTCTAGTGGTGGGGCTCAGGTGGTGAGGTAGCGTAGGCAGAGATGAGAGATCCTAAGGGGGAGGTAGAGGAAGGGATAAAGTGGACTCTTCCATTTCTTCCTAACCCCTTTAAATAAGATAGGGGGAAGCCGAAAGGACTCTGCACACGAGGCATCATCAAGAGTCATGACACCACCATTCAAAGCACCAACATGAAAAGCATGTCTGTGACCCTCCAAACCTTCGATCTTGCTGATGCCATCAATACCCTTACCCCTCGGATGGCTGAAACAAATCTCACTAACAACACAATGTATCCAGAGGCAAAAACCTTTGAAAAGCACTGAATTGTGGGTTCCCCAACTTTCCATTAATCATGGGATTGGAGCTTGATGTATGAGGACACCACACTTTGAAAGACTCTGTGGAATAACAAGGGAAGTTAACAAGACCCACATTATTCCACTGTAGGCAACAGAGGAAACCTAACACTCAAGAGATACTAACAAGATTCCAAAGACTGAGACCTTCATCCACCAAGGATGCATGAGCACATCCCGGGAATCTCTTACCCCTCAAGACCTCCTTCTCGGGGACTTGAGAACCACACTTGTAATGCAAATCTGACCTACTATATAAGGTGGACCAGTGGGTCCCATCAGGGCCATACAGAAAAAAGATAGGACATATCTACTTTCTATAACCCCACTCTCTGCTGCTAGGTAGGGTGACCAGTAAATGTTAGGAAAGATCTTGCCAGTGATCCACTAGATCCTTGGCGAACACCTTGACAATACAGATAATAAGGTAGGAGTAGGGTCTTACCTCACCTAGAGAGCCTAAACCTAGGTAAACTCACAGTGTCTCCGCCTTAACATTCTAATCTGCCATGCCCTCACCAAAATATTAACGTACCCTGCCGACACTTTCATGACAAAACCCCAACACTAGAGGATGTAAAATATAGCAGGTATACGCACCAACCCACAGGAAGGGCCTCCTTATGAAAGAATACTTCTTAGTTTCCTCACAGTGAATATACACTTGAGTATAATTTACAAATGGGACTGTCGGTGTCAAAACCGATGGAAATCGGGTAGGGGGTCCCGAACTGTGTGCCTAGGCCAGATGGTAACAGGAGGCAAGGGACACGAAGTTTTACCCAGGTTCGGGCCCTCTCGATGGAGGTAAAACCCTACGTCCTGCTTGATTAATATTGATGATATGGGTAGTACAAGAGTAGATCTACCACGAGATCGGAGAGGCTAAACCCTAGAAGCTAGCCTATGGTATGATTGTTGATGTGTATGTTGTTCTACGGACTAAAACCCTCCGGTTTATATAGACACCAGAGAGGGTTAGGGTTTTACAAAGTCGGTAACATTGGTAGGAGATCTTCATATCCATATCGCCAAGGCCTTCCACGCCAAGGAAAGTCCCTTCCGGACACGGGGCGGAGTCTTCAATCTTGTATCTTCACAGTCCAGGAGTCCGGCTGAAGGTATAGTCCGGCCATCTGGACACCTCCTAATCCAGGACTCCTTCAGTGGCCCCTAAACCAGGCTTCAATGACGACGAGTCCGGCGCGCAGATTGTCTTCGGCATTGCAAGGCGGGTTCCCCCTCCAAGTACTTCATAGAAGATTTTGAACACAAAGATAGTGTCCGGCTCTGCAAAATAAGTTTCCACATATTGCCATAGAGAGAATAATATTTACACAAATCTAATCTGCTGACGTATTCCGTAGCGTGACACACCACGGCCAAGCCTTTATCCGAGTCGTTTCATTATCCCACCTCAGCACGTCATGCGAGGCGGTTTCCTTGGCACGTCTTGTTAAAGCAGAGATCATGTCCCCTTATTCCGGGATTCTCATCAATACGGGCGTGGGTAACCCAACCGCTTCTAGGACTCCTAGATTATAGGCAAGTCCAAACAGACACGGAGAGGACGCTTGATATTCACCCTCTTTATAAAGGGGACAAGGCCTTTATTTTTCCCTCCCGTGCTCAATCGAATCCTTCCCCCACCTCAAGCTCAAAACGCCCGAAGTTCAGGTCAGGTGCTCCGAACCTTCAGTCATGTCCGGATCTAGCCTTCAAGGCCGATGGGTGCCTTCCTCCATCACGGAAGAAGACATCAAAAGGTTGAGGGAGGCCAGATATCTGACCGCCGAGATTTTGCATCGGCTGCCTCCCCGAGGGCAGGCCGTCCCCACCCCCGAACCTAACAAAAATATCGTGTTCGTCTCCCACTTCCTCCGAGGCCTAGGCCTTGCTCTGGATCCTTTCGTAAGGGGTTTGATGTTTTACTATGGGCTAGACTTTCATGATCTAGCTCCGGACTCCTTTCTTCATATCACGACATTTATTGTCGTGTGCGAGGCCTTCCTCCGGGTTACCCCTCACTTTGGCCTATGGCTCAAGACCTTTGAAGTGAAGTCGAAGATGATCGAGGGGCAACATGCAGCGTGTGGAGGTGCCTCAATACGCAAGATGACGGGAGCTCCATGGCCCAAAGGTTCAATCCCAGAGGTGTCTGAATTGTGGCAACAAGAGTGGTTCTACGTCACGGCTCCTAGAAGTTTCAAGTGGGCGGCTCCCCCTGTTTTCCGCTCGGGCCCCCCACCACAGCTGATGTCATGGATCAGCAGAGGTCTGAGCTGGGGGCCAGCCAAGGACGTGCCTGTACTGCAAAGTCGCATTCAAGATCTCTTCAATGGAGATTTTAGTTTGGTTGCGGTAATACAGGTTATGCTGGTTCGTCAAGACCAGCCTTGCAAACGCCGGACTCTTCGCTTGTGGGAGTTCAACCCCGAGGGACCGCATGCCATTCAAAATTTCCTTGGTCTGATGCACACGGAGATGTACAAGTCATTCTTCGGACCTCAAGTGGAGTGTCCGGAGATCACCGAGGACATGGGCCTGAGTAGTAACCGCGCCGCCGATGAGGTAAGGCATCTTCCGGCCGAACATCTCTCTTTGTTGCGAAGTTATTTCTGAAAGTTCGCTTTTTGACCAGGGCTGGCTAACAAAGGCGAAGTTGATTCGGTGTTCGGCCCCCCTCCCTGAGGGTTTGGAAAATCCGGTATTGGAAAAGATGCTCCAGACCGCACCTTGCCCGGAGCCCTTGAAGGAAGACACTATGGAGGATAATGCGGGCGGACGCGGGCCCCCAACGCTGCCCACTCTAGCCGAGGGAGCGAGCGTCTCCATGAAGGAAGGCGACCAGAAGAGGAAAAGGACTGCACCCGGGGATTCGGAAGCCGAAGCTTCCAAACGGGAGAAGAAGTCTCCCACAGAGGGTCCTACCTCGGGGGGCGTTGTTGCCGCACAAAGTCCGCGGGGGGATCAATTCTCTCGCGAGTCGTAAGTGACCCGAAATACTTTTAATGGTACAGATATGCCATCTTTTTCTTCTGAGAAAATAACCACCGCATATATTTTTGCAGTTTGGGCCTTAGCCCCTCTCAAATGAGCTCGTCTTTGGGGGATCTTCTTCCAGAGATGATGGAGAGCGAAACACCTCCTCCGGACTCCTCCGCGCCAGAAGCGGGCGACCCTGAAGTGTCGTTGCGGAGGGCCTCTCCGAGTCCGGTGAGGCCAGAAGATAATCCCATTGACCCCCGAAGCTCCCAGTGTCCGGCTCTCGAAGAGAGCAGACAAAAGAGTTCGGCACCGTCTGGTGTGCGATCGGATGTTCTGAGGGAGTTGGTGGGGCGAGCGGCCATCTCAGATG